TGTAAACATCTTGCTCCAACTGACCAATCAGACGACAGAAAATGCTGACATTAGTGTGGGCCCTCTAGTTGCTCCAGTGCAGCAAATCTGAAATCTGATTGGCTGAAGAAAATGATCCTCACTAATATTGTTGAGGTAACATCAGCAGCACTACTGATTCTGAAGGCCCTGGGCAGATTTGGTTGACATAGCAACGCACTAAGGCTGAAATCTGATTGGACAAAAAATATAGCGACTACATAAATGTAATTAAAGCAGCGCAGCATAGAGAAACGATATAAAATTAAAATATTGTTAAATATTGTTAAATTAATACAGTTGGATAGTAGAAAATTAAAGTTTCGGCAATGAATGTAGGTTAGTGTTTCTAATTAATTTTAGGCAAGCAGTGAAGTAATTGAAGGCCCACCACTGGTAGTAATACATTAAAAGAAGTAATTAGAAATAAACAGTTTTCTTTTAAAGATAAAAATTGATTTGCTCTGTAGTCAAACAGCAAAAAACGAGTTTTACAATATTAGACAATCTTTTTTTTATCATGTTTTGAGACTGATGTACAATAAAGGGCAGCTTCTGTCACATTATTTATCTTCTTTGGAGAAGATTTTACTCAAAGAAGTGTGATAATCTGCTGATGCAATAAGACAATAACAGTTCTCGAAACCCTGATAAAATAACTCAAAGCAAGTGAGATTGTCTCACTGCACTGAAAGATTATTGCACTTATTTAGAAATGGATCTTCTCAAAAGTAGATTAATAATCTAGCATAATCTGATCTTGTTTAGTATTAAAAATCCCAAAACAAGATCAAAAGTACTTTTTGGCTTTAAATAAGATTATAAAACTTGGTTAACTGGACAGTGTTTCGCGATGCATCCAGATCATAACATAGAGGTCTAACCCGCTGAAATTCAGGCCCTGCCTCAGTTCAGGATCATTATTCCTCAGTTTAACCTCCCCTCTCAGGCTCCTGGATGTGAAATCAAGCTACAGGAAGTTGTCGATCCAACCTCACATCTTTTCATTCAAATCCAATCTGATTTTTATCGTCTGCAGATGTTTGTAGTTGGTCTATCAGAGAAGCAGCATCTCGGTCCTGAGCATAACAATAAGTTAGTCCGTCACAGAGCAGAACGCTCCCAGGCTCTGCGCTCCTCTGACAGGAGAATAGCGGATGAACAGCAGAGGCCAGCAACCATCAAAGGAACGTTGGGAAGCTTCCCAGACTTCCGGCTCGTTGTCTCTCACTATTTTGAGCACAGAGAGGCGGATTTAGGGGAACGCAGGAATCTGCGAAGAGCCCCCGAACTGCCATTGTGCTCGGCGCCCTTCTCCTCCGCTGCTCTTTTCTGGCCGAGCCAAACGAGAGAGAGCAGTGGCGTTATAATGCCTCCCCTACTCCATCTCGGCTAAGCTGCCACATGCTTCACATGAGAAACAATGAAACTTCATTGGAGACCAGATTACAGAGAGAGAGGGGGGTTCAGAGTAATTTTTCGTCTAAAGGAGGAGGGGGGAGCTTTGTTTCCTCTTCTCCGAGGCCATTGTCTTTGGGGGATCTGCCTTCTTTGCCTGTCGGCGAAGTAGACGAAGGCCTGGGGTTCGTACGGTTGAGATTCTGGCACCAGATCCCCTATTTTTTACATTTTTCTCCTCTTTGCTTCTTTTAGTGTTTTTAAAAAAAGAGCTTAGGCCACAGCATCTCTCTTTACCTCTCTCTGGACCCAGATTGCTTAAATTGGAGGGGATTTGGGAAGGATGGAGGAGGCTTAGTGTGTGTGGGGGGGTGGGGGGTGAGTTCAGAGAGTCATCACTGTTACAGTCAAACAGCCATGAAAGCCTACGAGGATGAAGAGGACAAGAGAGCCTTTTTATCTAAAGCACGCAAATCCCGTATAAATGCTCTGATATGTTAGATGGAGTATCCATCACTCCCATCCGCATGCTTCAATCTCTGTCTTCACTCCTATTTGGGGTAAAGTCTGATTTTAGGAGGGAGGAAGAATGGGACCAGTGGGCTGACTGGAAGCGTTACGAAGTGGAACTGTGGCTTTGACATTTGAAGTTTCACAGGGGAGAGGGAGCCGATTTAGGCTGCACTGCGCTCATCTGGTCACTTCTACGAAGCATAAACACACCATGATGAATCTCTGAGCCTTCAGTCATCCTACAGGTCTCTGTGGGGTCTGAAAATCCAGCCATGCTGCTGTAAACACACAGTCAGTCATAAACTTCACTTAAATGTTTTGGAAAATCTGTTAAATTTTAGCATCTAGCAAAGATAAGAAGATTCAACAGCAAACGCAGTAAGGATCACTAAATGATTGCATGTGGTTCTTAAATTCATAGTCCGCCCGCGACAACACCTCTTCCAGCCCCTGAAAGAGGCTCCAGAGCATCACTCTACCACCACCATGTACGGCAGTAGGTCTGATGGTATTTTTCTGAAGTGCTGTGTTACTCCTGTTTCTCACACTTTCATTTAAAAATGGCCACGCATGATGATCAGAGACCGTTTGCTCCTAAAGTGGGTGGTGTATAGACACACGGTGGAAACAAACAGATTTCACTCAGGAAAACTCACAAAATCTCTAGAGATCAAACGTGAGCTCAGAGTAAATAAACGTGGCCAACTAGGTCAGTGAGGGCGGGGCCTGAGTCAGCCGTTCATGTACTTACGTTTTGGGGGTCTCTGAGGGAGAAGGGCCTGAAACCGCGATGCTACCCTCTGCTCCTCCTCGACTAAAGCTGGATCCACATAGACCGCTCCTGTCTCTCTGAAGATCATCTGGCAATAAACATGAAAACAAACAGCTTAGCAATGAATAACAGGAGCAATTATCACTTAAACTCTTTAGTGTATGTGATCCATTGAAGACGAGACAACTAATATTGGGGAATTCATAAATGAAAGGATGAGTGGCTGAATGTAAGGAAGACACCAAAGATGTGGAGGAACCAGCTCTGTCGAACAAGAATAAAACTTTTTAAAAACACTACATGCGACAAATAACCGATTTACACTAAACAGATATGGTGGTGGCAGCATCATGCTGTGGGGATGCTTATGTTAAAGAGGGACAGGAAATCTGAAAATACAAGTTGAGCTAAAACCTGAGTAAACCTGCTAGAAAGATCTTTATATGCATTAACACCAGTTTTCTGCCTGGTTGACCTTCACATATTTTTCCTCTCTCTTCTAAACATGAGAAGGGAAACCATCATCAAATACATTATCGGACACCAGCATTGATTAGCGAGTGTAACTATAAATCTACTGGTTCCTCTAAACTGTTCCATAGTTGCTGGACCTCGATTTTACAAAACAATGCTGGTCTCACAGATCCACTCCCAGTTCTACCAGTACCACCACCGGCTCCAGGAGCTGCAGCTGGATGATCAACTCCAGCGGTTCAGGATCCAGTGTCCATGGCTGCTGTCTTATTTAAAGAGATAACATATGAGCTTTAATAACAAAAACCTCCATCTCCTCTGCACATTATAACCTGATGAAACAACCACATCCGAGCCCTACAATGGTTAACTTAATGCCACATGAAGGGACAGAAAAAGTTATTTTTTGGAATTCCAGGGAAATCTCGCTTTGTTCTGTCTGCATTGCCGCATGGCTCCGTTTGCATCACTCAAAACATCATATTTGCATCAACAATCACTCCATAACACAATAACACGTAAATCCCTGGGCAAATTCACGTTTGGTGTGTATGAGGCAGTAAAGCTACACAACTCGGTTGGAAATCCACCTTCCAACAGGTAATTTATCCTAAAGACACAGCTAAAGGTAAATATACAAGCTCAAGACATAAATAAAATGTCTTGTTCTGACTCTAGAAGGAGGCGGTCACATTTTTTTCTGCTGCTCTGCAACTCCCTGACCTCCCTGATCTGTCTCTGCTTTGCTGTGTCTTGTCATTTCTGAGCTCTCTCTTCATATCAGCCAAACTCAAACAATGGATCTGGTTAGGTGGTCTCTCAATGCAATTGATCAAACTTTCTCAACTGGAAGTCAGAGAAAAGGGGACCCGTCCTGTCCTGCCGGGATATACTTTATGGGATACACCATGGACTCCTGGAAGGCTTGGAGGATGGTGTGTTTTACAATGCTGTCAGTGGAGGATATTGAAGATGTATGGATTTTCAGATTTATGATACTTAGGCAGTGGGTCTCCTGTTTGGATTTGGATGATACCTGATGTATCTACAATTACAGAGGACATCGGCTGCAATTTGGGGATTGATCAGGCTGCCAGCAGTGGCTGACACGGTCACAAAGGCTGTGAACGAGCAAGATCGGGAGCTGAGCCGTATGCTGGGTGCGACTGGACGCAGGCTGGCTGCGGAGGTTGAACTCAAAGGTGAGATGGGATAATATCTTGGATGTGCACGCTCGCTTCAAGGTGGAAAAGCCCAAATAAATTTGGAATATTG